AAAAAAAAAAAAAAAAAAGCACAGAACAGTGTCTTCATAAGTCAGAGACTTCTGATGCAGTAGGCCTGGGGCAGGTAAAGAAAATGGTCCCTTCTAGCCAGTGCCCAGGTGGCTTTCATGCTGCTCGTTACAAGCAGGGCCACGCTTCACACACAGATTGCTTTAGGCAGCCACGGGTTGCAGACTCAGGCACGGATCTATTCACCAAAATTTAAAACAAAACAGAAAGCCAGCATACAAAAAGTTTAGAGCTGCCAGAGGCCATGGTGGTAGCCAACTTGCAACTTACCTCCCTTGGCTCCGAGGATGTGCACCAATTACATTGGGCATGCAGGAGGGTCTCCAGCGTGCGCACCAAGAGCACCGGCCCAGGCTAACCCTCTGGGCCCGCTGCTGTGGAGCAGACAAGGGCTGCAAGAATCATCCCCTCCCTACTCACCTTCTTGGCTTAGGGCTCACAGGTCCATGTCTTGGGCTCTGGAGGGCCCACTGAGGCCCGGAGGGAATGTCCCTGTTTGCTGCAGAGAGAGGCCTTTGGGGACAGGTTGGACTGGAGGTTGCTCCTGCTTCTAAGGGCTCATGATGGCCAGGCTGTGCCTGCTGCTGCTGTGTGACAAGGCCTGGACTCTGGGCAGTTGCTACCTGTGTGGGGCTTTTCTTGGGGGGGTGGTAGGTACGGGGCTGAGAAAGCAAAGGCTGTGGGTAGGTAAGGCCTAAGGGCCTGGCTAGGGATAGAGACAAGCTGAGCAGGTCTCCTAGCAGAACTACAGGGCTTTGCGAGGTGGAAAGGATTAATGTCAGAAGCCCTTGAGCTAGAAGATAAAACAATAAAAGAAAAGAATTACTTGGTTGTAAAAGTCCATCAGCATTAATAAAATCTATTATAATCTGATCCTTCCTTATTTCATCTGTGTGAAGAGACAGATGACCTATTGTTAGGCAGTGGCCTTTTATTTGTACTTTTTTGTTTTTGTTTGTTTTTTCAGACAGGGTTTTGCTATGTAGCTGGGGCTGGCCTCAAACCTGTGGCAATTCTCCTGTATCAGCCTCTTGAGTTTTGGGATTACAGGTGCGCTCATCACCACACCCAGTGAGCCTCTGGGCTTGACCTGTCTGATCTTTCTGATAACATAAATGCTGCATCCCCAGCATGGGAAATACACATGCACCCCACAGATGCCTTCAGGGTACCAGAGTCAGTTGGAGCAATCTGTTACCTTCTCCCTTTCCCTATCTCTGTACTGGAGATTGAACCCAGAGCCTTTGTTTATTTTTTACATTTTGCGACAGGGTCTTGCTGGGTCACGAAAGTGCCCAGGCTGGCCCACTCTTGACCCTTCTGCTTCAGCCTCCCAGAGTGTTGGTACTGTAGACAGGCAAGTTAGACAAGGCAGCGGGCAGCTGGAGAGGCAGCAGGCCCAAGATAGAATCAGGAGGCCCACACAGGCTGAGGCTGGATGCACAGGAACCTGAGGTTGAGAGTGAACAAGAACGAGACGCACAAGTCCAGAGTGGTGACAAGGTAAAAGCGGGGTGGTGATGACCACTGTGACAACTTCTGCTCCTACCTGACTGGAAAATGGTTTTTGCCTCTCTTTGCTCTTTTAATAAACCGTTAGGATAGAGGCCAAGAAATAACAGCAGACATATGCTTGCTATGCACCTCAACTCCTCATAGGCCCATTTCTAGTATAAGTGAGCTTGTTTTCGTCCTGTAGGCTGACCTCGGTTTGACTCAGTGGTCTGAGCCCTGGTCGTTTTTTGGTATAAAAACTCCTACACAAAGAGTCCCGGTGGCAACCCACTTTTGGCTCCCCTTCCCACCAATGGGAGCAATTTCTTTCTTCTTAACTTTCTTTCTGTCTACCTCCTTTGTCTTTGGCTTCATCCTTTAATTTCGTGAAGAATTATGCTACTACATTTCAATCACAGACGTGCACTGCTCTGCTGGGCTTCTTTTCCCTTCTTGATCAAGGCCCTTCCAGAAAGAGCTCGTTGCTCTCTGTCCCAGATCTCCCAGCATCTGCTTTATACATAATGTACATCTGTGGCGTCCAACTGTTCTGGCTGTCTGGGAATGGGAGGAGGTATCCAATGGTTAGCACTTGTGTCCTAAAGCCTCTTCCTCAGGAAATGAGCCATTCTTAGAAGCACGTGGTAAGACCTCATGCCAGACTTTAGGAAGGCAGATGCCTGTGGGAGAGAACATGGAGAGAGCCCTCAGATCGTGGTGATGCCCAACCCGAGTGGAGAGCAGAGGGCAGGAAGCTGGTGGAAGCATCCTTAACTGTTGTGAGGGCTCCTGCAGCCAAAGGCGCCCATCTGGGGTCCTGTGTCTCCACCACCTTCGGTTGAGAGCTGCGAATGCTCCTTGTAGCAGAAGTTGTACCAGGAAACTTTCTTTTCTTGGCTGCTGCAAGTTCCTTCTGCAGTTTCCCTAGCCTGAGCTGGAGGCACTGAAGGAAGTGATTATGTGATTGCCCAAGGCTGACGGACAGATGGGTTGGAGGGAGTCACTGTCGAAACAAGGTGTTCCTCGATGGGTGGTGGCTGACTGGGCCAGCCAGTCTCCCTGGGGATGTGGGCAGGTGAAACGTGGATCCAGAAGTGGGTCTGGCCAGCACCTGTGTCCTAAAGGACCAGCATCTCCTCTCTTAGACGGCTGTGGCTTGAATATGGTTGTTCCCCGTTGAGGCGTGGTCCTGATGCAGTGGTGTTGAGAGGAGGCCCCTTATGGGGGTACCAAAGCAGTTTCCCCAAGAGTGGGTGAGTTATCAAGAGAGTGTTTGTTATGAATCAAGTTTGGTTTCCTTGATTTTCTCTCACTTCCTCTTTCACCATGAAATCTTCTTGCCTGCGCACCTTGGCTTCTGGTTCTGCTTTCCTGCTGTGCACGGTAGATCTTCTCTTCACAAATTACTGAGCCTCAGGCATTTTGTTAGGTACATCCCTGCCCAGGGAAAGCCGGAAACCCAGAGTCACCTGCTGCTGAGTCATTTTCTGTGCCAACTCGTGGCCTCCCATTGCACAATAGCAAACCCACAGCATCCAGAGCTATGCTTAGAATTACAGCAAAGACACTGAGAGCTGACTCTGTGAGGGTGACTTTGTAGTCAGTATCTTACTCATCTTCGTGGTGCCAGGCTACACAGCAGCTAGGACTCCATAGGCCCTGCGAACTGTCACAGCTGGGCTCCTGGTGCCCCCTAGGGGCCTAATACTGTGCCTGTGAAGGATGGAAGTCCACAGTTGCTTGGTACATCTTGGACTGCCAACTCCATGCCAAGGTTATTATTACTATTCTTGTTCTTTCTTTTTTTTTTTTTTTTGTAGCGGGGGATCGAACTTGGGTCCTTGTGCTTGCGAGACAGGCTCCGGAACCACTGAGCTAAATCCCCAGCCCCATTATTACTATTCTTGATCATGATGGTCATGGTAAAGTCGTATAATTTAATCATGAGTTCAGATTGAAAACCACATGTTTATATTGAAACTAACATATTATGAATTGCAGGATTTGCTTAAATTTTCAAGATTAAACAAAGACATCCACAAAGTTTTGCCTTGGTGCTATTTGTATCTAGTTCCACCAGACCCTCAGGGATATGAGATTTAAAAATTATTTGTACAAGTACAAAAGATGAATTAATATATTTACTAATATCTTATAAAGGGAAAATTCTCTTCAGCCATACCCTCTCACCTTGATTTCTTCTCTTCTTACCTCATCAGAGGTAATCCCCGTTGGCATTTGGGTGAGTACTTATGACATTGTGACTATCAGGAGCAATTCTACAGAATTTTGGGGAAAATAATTTCATAATTAAAGTATGACTATAGCTGTCTAAGGCTCAATGTCACCTTGCCCTCACGTCAGCTATGGCCTGCCAAAAT